GCGCTGACTCCAAACAGGTTTTGTCATAATCATCCATGTTACTGAGGGCTTCCTGCAAAGACAAACACCACAGTCACTGCTGGGGGAGTATCCCAGCCAGGAGACACCCAGCAGTCACTCCTGGAATATTATCAACACAGCTCTTTGAGAGTGAAAAAAACACCTCTGCATGTCTTAAAAAAAATAAAAACCTGAGGCAACATCTAACAAGAAATACTTAGCTGAGAAAATCCTCACAGGTGTCAGAGCAGAGACCACAAGGAGTTTGTTTCACAAAAACTCTTTGGCAGAGAGAGAGAAACAAACCCAGAAGTCACATCTGCATCCATAAACCAGCTTTTGTCCTAGAAGTGAAAACCTCACACTTAACACAGCATCACCAGGGTGCAACTGTGAGGTGAACTTGCTAAAGAAGCCTGGCTGGGCTCCTGGCTTGCAAAATTCCTCAAATGAACTCTTAGGGAAGTGAGAATTAATCAGAGAGGATGCACTGGCACCCACCTGCAAAACTGCAAACATAACAGAGAACAGCTTTTGAAATCTCTTTGCTCAATGGACAAACCCAAACCATGGTGCCCTGTGACAGCAATGTGTCATCTCCTCCTGCCTGTGAGGGTCAGATATAAATGCACAACTTTTACTGGATTCAGAGGCTCCAGTGCCTTACTGCACTCATGTGAAATTTCCCTCTTGGACTTTCTCATTTCCATTTCCTTCTCCCAACTTCCCACCACATCTGTGAGGCCTAAAATCACTTATTCTCACTCTTGCACTGTTTTGACTTCTACACACTCTCAACAGCAGCTTCTCTGTTCCAAACCACTCGACTCAAAGCCTTTCTAAATGGTCCTGTCAGCTGCATTGTTTATCAAGAGCAAACCAACAAGTACACATGAAAACAGGGACATCTCAGACCCACTTGGGGAGCTTCATCAGGCAGCCCTTCCCTCCATCCCGTTTTTAACTCCATCCCATTTTAGAGTCAATCAGCCACACCCAGTGCAAAGGTGCAACTGGCAAATTCACTGTTTCAAACACATTGATTTCACCTGCCCTTAAAATAAGGACAAACCCACTCAATTCAAGACGTGTGCACAGGACAACTTCACCCTGCTTTGGTGGCACAGTTGGCTGATTTTTTAAAAATGCTGCCGGTCTACTGCTTTAGCGTTCACACCCCCTACCTGGAGCGTGTTGTAGTCTCTTGTGAAAGGCACCATGAGCTCCCAGAGGGATGAAAACACCACCAAGGCCGTGAACTCCAGCTTGTAGTTGGTGGCCATGTGCTCGAAGAGCATGGTGAGCCCGTGGGCAGCCAGGTGCTTGCGCTGGTACTCCTCGGAGCCCTCCACCGACACCGGCCGCGTCATGGACAGCGACACGTCCATCACCACCACCGTGGGCATGGCGAGCTGCTCCTCCGCCGCCCTCACGGGCGGGCTCCGCTGCCTGCGGCGGGAGGGAAGGCACAAATCATCACCGAACCCGCACCCGGGCAGCCACGCGCCTCGCCCCCTCACGCCGACCCCGGGGAGAAGCGATAATTACCCTTTTTCCCCCTCAAAACGAGGGGCTGAGCGCAGATTAGGTGAATACACGCTGAACCCCACACGGCATTTCCAGCCGGGCGCAGCGCAAGGCCTGGAGACGGCAGGAGCGGAGCCTCGCTGGGGAAAGCGCGCAGCCCTGCCGCTCCGAGGGCGGTCGGGCAGGGATCCAGCCCTCCCCACAAGGCTTCGCCCTCAGCGGGGCTGTCCCCGGAGCGCTCCCGGGCCGGCCGGGCCGAGCGGCGGCGGCGGGCACGGAGCGGGGAGGCGGAAGAGAAATGCTGCTGCACACCGCGGCCCGCCGCGCAGCCATGCGTGCGGCACGGAAAGCGTTCCCCCGGCAGGCGCGGCCCGGGCGGGAAGGGCCGCACCTCACGCGGCCCGTGAGGGCTGACCCCGCACGGGAAGCGAGAATTTGGGATGGTCGTGCTGGTGGTGCCCACGTGAAATAGCAGCACAAATGACCGCGATGTGTGGAGAAGGGTTTGTGGATAAGCATGCCGGATGGGCAGTGCACGTCCTTCTCCCACACGGGAAGTGCGAATTTGGGATGGTCGTGCTGGTGGATTCCCACGTAAAATAGCAGCACAAATGACCGCGATGTGTGGAGAAGGGTTTGTGGATAAGCATGCCGGATGGGCAGTGCACGTCCTTCTCCCGCTTCTGTACGTGTGGGAGTGGAGGGGGCTGGAGACAATAAACTGCAGTGCAAAACTGGGATGTACTCCTGAAGTTGTGTGTTCAGACAACAGTTTGCTTTAAAATGATCAGAGAGCCACAGGATAGTTTAGCTGGAAAACCCTTCTAAGATCATCAAGTCCCATTATTGCCCTAGCACTGGCAAGGCCACCATAAGCCACAGGTGCCACATCCACCCAGCTTTAAATCCCTGCAGGGATGGGGGCTCCACCACTGCCCAGGGCAGCCTGTCCAATGTTGGACAAGCTTTTCAGAGAGACATTTTCCCAATATCCAACCTAAATCTCCCCTGGCCCAGCCTGAGGCCGTTCTCTCTCCTGCTGTCCCTGTTCCCTGGAGCAGAGCCTGAATCCCTGGGCTGTCCCCTGCTGTCAGGAGCTGTGCAGAGCCAGAGGAGCCCCCTGAGCCTCCTTTGCTCCAGGCTGAGCCCCTTCAGCTCCCTCAGCTGCTCCAGCCCCTTCCCCAGCTCCATTCCCTTCCCTGGACGTGCTCCAGCACCTCGATGTCCTTCTCACCACGAGGGACTCAAAATCAAATCATACCTTTCTAATTCCCCTGCAATAAATCTGGTTATTAGATTGCTGTGGCTGTTAAATCCTCGGCCAGGGATGTTGTTATTTCTTCCCCTGTGGAGCTGCACTGTATCAGTGCCACAGAAGAGTCATGGGCACCATCCCCAGGTCCCTGCTCCCTCCCTCTTCCTCACTGCTCCTGGCACAGGCCCTGAGGGATTTTTCCAGGAAACAACGAGTTTGAAACCTCCCTCTGGCATTGCAAAGTGGTCACATACTGTGACAAAGACCAGCAGAGCTGCTTGTCTGGCATCTGGCCTGTCAGCCATCGGAGATGCCTCAAATGCAGCTCCATGTTCCGTGTTTAAAAGTGTTTGTAAATGTGATTTACCCACTGCCAGGGCCGTGAGGGTGATCCGTGTCCATGGCTGGTGCTTCAGTGCAGGAGTTTGTGAAGGGGATAATCACTGTCCTCACACTGAGAATAACCTGTGGTAGCAGACAAAGGCATTGGCTTCAGAGATAGACCCAAATCTATACAATACTATTTAATCTGCTTACAGGCTGTGGGTATTAAACTGGATTGGGAATTCCTCCACTAACATGTCCTTCACACCTGACCCTCTTGTTCCAGGACTCTGCCAGCAGAGGGGACATCCTGAAAATGGGATCATTTTCACCTGCCTCTCTCTGCAACAGCATCTCCCATCTGGCTGTCAAGTACCAAAGAAGCTTCCAGCACTACACCCAGCTCCTGGAACTCCCCTTCCTCCTGGGCAGACCTTTGGAAGGTAGGCTGGGGAGGTTTGTGTGATTGCTTGGATTTCGTGTTACTGAGACAGGAGGTGAGAAAAGGAGTTCATCAGGAACTGACCTAAACTTAACAAAACAATTCTTCTGCATTCTTCTGGTCAGGAGTTGTGAAAGGCTGCAGAGCTCTTAGAACTCATCCTAGCTTTGGATTTCTTTCTGCTCACAAAGCATCTTTTAAGCAGCTCATTTTGGAGAGAAGTAAAATCAGCATTTAAATGGGAGTGTGTGCATAACTGTGTTCTCTCTGTGCCATCCTTTTAACTCACCTGTCTTTATTAGGGAAAGTTATTTTCTCTTAACGGGCAATTTGTTATACCTCTTGTGCTGTTCTGCCACATGTATTTTTTTGGGTTTTTTATGTATGAAAAGCAAAGCTTGTATCATCTATTTATCTAGGCACTCCCATGACCCTCTCTTACTGTTGCCTTAGTGATCCTCCCAACTATTTAAATTAACATTGCCTGTTTTGCAAGAAATTTAGGCTGATAACTTCTCTGGGTGTTATGCAAGAGGGTAAATGTGTGATAACTTGCATGAAGAGCTTATCTGAGAATGGTTTAGAAAACTATGATTCACAGCTAAAGAATAATTCACAGCTAAAGAATAATGTAACATGCCCACTCTGGGGAAAAAAATAATCCATGAAGAGTGTCATTCTAAGGTAAAACATTCAAGCAGTGCAGAAGAGTGAATTCTGTCCAGCCCCAAATCCCTGTCCCTGTGCTGTCACAGCTGCAGGCACTGTCACTCAGACATTTACAATGTCTCTCCCTTTCTAAATGCTGTTCACATTATGCAAGATATGCTAATGACCCCCTAATAAAAGGTATTATTACAATTCCAATCTGCCAGTTCTGATTTCTACAGAAAGCCCTGGAAAGATGTAGTCATAGAAACAAATGGCTGCTCAGCACCCCCAGTTTTACTAGAACCACGTTCTCCTCACCCTCTGCTGAAACTGAAGGAAAAACCTCACCCTTCCTTGGATGGTTTCCTGGGGAGTGAAAGGCTGGAAAGCCATGGAGCAGCATCACATCTAAACCACTTTCCATCCTCCTGAGGTTATTTTGGTGAATAACTGGTTTAGGAGGGAGGTCTGAACAGCTTGGTCTCGTCTTCAGAGCATCATTTTTAGGAATTTACAGTTGGTTCCTTGACAGAAGCCGTATCCACTCCTCCTGCACAACACTGACCCAATTGATAATGTTACAGAAGAACAACTGGACTCTGGTCAATGCAGTCCTTAACAGCTCCTGGATATGGGCATTTGGTGGAACCAGAATTCAGCTTGGATTGGACTGCCTCAGCCAACTCCATTCTCTTAAGCCAAACCTTTGATTATTAATCAGCATAGCCTACAGTCATATAAAAAAATAGGTTGAAACCTGGATCTAGATCTCTCTTTACTCATTTAAGTTCATTTGTTTTTATTGAAAAATAGACAAGCAGTCAGTGAAGTGTTGCTGCCCAAATGGTGGAAAGTTGCAGTACTTTGTTTTTCACACCAAATTTTCTTTTGCAGGATTCCCCATTTTGTGTTGTGCAGTTCCAATCCTGATGCTCCAGAACAGCAAACTGCTGACCAAGTGAAGTCTTCAGTGGCTTCTGGACACAGCTCTGAGTTTTGAACCTTTAGGAAATGCATTTACCACGGAGGAGGCGGCTACGGAGGAACAGAATCCTTTTCTTGCTTGCCATAGTGTTGGTCCTCTCTTTCTGCCAGCTCCAGTTCAGCCCCTCTGCCCTTCCAGCATCACACAGAGCCCCCCAACGCACAGACCCTGCCAAAGTGACCTCCAGGGAGCTCCCCAGCAACAAGACTGCTGTAAGAGGCAATGCCACAGCACCCAAAATAAGGCACTGCATCTACGTGGATCCTGAGCCAGCTGTGCCCGTCACCACGTCAGTGGGTACAACACCACAGCAAGAAAATGCCAGTGAAAGCTCCCCAGATGAAAAACCACCCTATGAGTCCAAAGGAGAATATCCCCAAGACCTGTTCAGTGTGGAAGAACGCAGGCAAGGGTGGGTTGTACTTCACATCTTTGGCATGATATATGTATTTGTGGCCTTGGCCATAGTGTGTGATGAGTATTTTGTCCCTGCTTTGGGAGTGATCACTGAGAAGTTGCAGATCTCTGAAGATGTGGCTGGAGCCACCTTCATGGCAGCAGGTGGATCAGCACCAGAACTCTTCACGTCCCTTATAGGTGTCTTCATCTCACACAGCAATGTCGGCATCGGTACCATTGTGGGCTCAGCAGTGTTTAATATCCTCTTTGTCATTGGCACCTGTGCCCTCTTCTCGAGGCAGATACTCCACCTGACATGGTGGCCCTTATTTAGAGACATCACATTCTACATTGTAGACTTACTGATGCTCATCCTGTTTTTCCTAGACAGTGTCATTGATTGGTGGGAAAGCCTCCTTTTACTGACTGCCTATGCCGCATACGTGTTCACCATGAAACAGAACGTGTTCCTGGAGCAATGGGTGAAGCAGGAGCTGAAAAAGAAGCTAAATGCTGTGCAGGCAGCATCAGCAGAGCATATGCAGAAGGTTGGTGTCCTTAGAGTTCAGAGGGCAAGTTGGAAATAACTTTTAGTGTAAACCACAAATAAAAACTGCATCTCCTTCACAAAGGAGTATCTATATCAGAATACAGATACTGGTTAATAATTATGGTTTTAAAGTGGGGGAAATCCAAACTAGAGAGATTCTAAGAAACTGGAGAACATCATAAAAAGGGAGTTCTGCCTGTGCAATTACTAAATATCTCTTAGCTGCTTTCAAAGATGCGTGGGATTTTGCTTATTTGGTTGTTCAGAAGTTTCAGAAAGAACACTTGCACAAATATGTTTTTGGTCTGGGAGTAAAATTGGACAATTCTGGTACACAGGGTAGAAAAGGCTTCTGTCCCAGCCTCTTGCAGCTGAGAGATGTTGGAGGAAATTCTCTTTTCCCTCTCTGAAGCCAGATGTGTTGCTGGGATGCTGGTGGTATCACTCCTTACCTGATCAGCAGCACAGAAATGCATCTGGCATCTTTAGCAACTACTGCCTGCTCTCCTGGGCAGCATTTGGCAACAGACTGAAGTGCCCAAACCCAATTCCATGCCAGCAGATTTCAAACTGTCCCCTGGCACTGCATGCTCTGCTAGTCAGATGTGTCCCCAGCCCTCAGGCATGCTTTGCCTTCTGATCCTGGCTCTCCACATCATTTAAGGAAGGAAGCAGATAAGCAGAGTGAGGACAGCTGAAGTGGTGCAGAATTGAGAAACTCATTCTGTTTCCTACTCCTGGTTTGTTGTTCAGCCAGTGCTCACAGCCAGGAGTCCTGAAAGCTCCTGGGCTGCATTCCAGTGGGATACACGTGCAAGAAACTGCAGTGACACACACACATCACTGTGGACATCACCAAGCATCACAGACTGAATCCAGCCCTGCACTTGAAGTTTACAGAGAACTCTCACTAATGTTTAGTAGCGTGACAGAGAGCTGCTGAACCTATCCCTTGGGAAAAATTAATCACAGATATTATGGAAAGTAATGCTAATCTGTAAAAAAATCTGCCTTTGAACCTTCACTCTGCTGGAAAATGAGTAAGGATACAGATGTTTGGGGATGAAATCTGGATCTGTCTGTAGCTACAGGAATCAGTTGTGAGTCTGCCCCAGGTGCCTGCATCCTCACTGGGAGGCTTTAAGTAGAATCCTGTTTTTCTCAGAAGCCAATGGGTTTAAGGAGGCTCATGGCTTCAGCTCTTTCAGTAGCACATATGGACATTTGTGTCAGCTGTGCCACTTGCCCACAGGCAGCAGCCTGAAGGATCATTAGATCCTGAAGCAGCAGAGGTGACTGGTCATTTCTGTTCTTCATTGCTTGCAGACAAGCAGGGCAGTTGTAGATGATGGAACAATGAAACCACCAGATGGGAGGAAGCTGAAGGTAGGTCTAAGCAACTTTACATGGATCTGAAGTCATGGTATTTTGAATCTCTCCCCATGTCAGGTCACAAATAAAAGTGTCAACTCCTGTGTCAAGAAACCTGGACCAAAGCCTGTATCATATCAGGCACAATAGCCACAGTTTGCTTAAGAGGACACCTGGCTGAGTCTTGTCCTTTAAGGCATTTTTATAAAATTTAAGAAACAGCTCAGGCTTCCCAGGTGGATTTAACTAGAAGAGTGCTGTTCATTCTCTGCTATAAAACAGTCACATAGAAATTCAGACAGTGACTCTTCTTACCTGGTCTCGTGGCTAAATTTCTTCCTGGGCTGCCATAGCAGCGGCTGGCGGGGTCTGTCCTTTCCCATAGCAAACACTGAACAGCAGATTCCTCTGCTGCTGTTGAATTGCTGCCCCATGGCCTGGAGAGGCCTTGTTTGATGTAGAGGACAAAGAAGCTGGGACTGAGTGGTTTTGTGCCTTCCCACAGCCTGGGCCAGCCCTGCAGCGGGGCAGCAGCTCGGCCTCCCTGCACAACTCCCAGATGCGCGGCACCATCGTCCAGCTCATGATCCACACCCTGGACCCCCTGGCAGAAGGTGAGTGGATGCTCCACACCAGAGGGCTTTGGGTTCACAGCTCTGAGTGGTTTCACTGGGAATACAATCAGTATTTTGGGGTCAGCAACTCACCCTTGGGGTGCATCACAGATAGTGTTAGGTGTGGGGAGCTCTGTGACAGTGGGATGTGCCCCTTCTCATTGCGTGGCTGGCAAGGACAAACACCTCATGTGTTGGTCCTGCCATATCTACTTTTCCTGTGCCAAACTGGTTACTGCTGTGGTGGCAGCTGCTGCTGCTGGGGTCCCTGGCAGTGGTGGCATCCCCCATCTCTGCTGTCTCTCTGACTGCAGTGGCAGTTAATGTGAGTTACAGACTTCCTCTGTCCCATAGCACGTCACATCTTCCACTTCTTAGCTCAGACCTCATCCCAGCCCTGAAACAGCAGCACAAAAAGAGGTTAAAACCCTTGAAGAATTCTCTTTTTGACAGTGGTTAAAATCCCAGCTGAGATTCTAATCATGATGGTGAGGGCAATTCTGTGTGATTCAGGCTGACACCTCTAAAAGCCCACCAATCATTACTGCCATGGCAAAGTGTGCCCACAACTCTGGCTCCCCAGGGCCAGGGAATGACCAGCTCAGGTCCAAGACCTCTTTTAAACTGCCCAGGGTGCAGAGAAGCCTCATCTCCAGAACCAGGGTTTTTGTACACAGCCTTTTAATGTGTTGCTTTATATTAACTTTAATCCGGTCACACTGTGGAGGTTTCTTTTCAAAGAAATAGTGAAGCACATTTAAAAAAAAAAAAGTTTTTAAGATTTTCCTTCCTTGCTCAGCACATGCCCCACCCCTCCACTGCCCTACTTGTTCTAAAGAGATTATCTGCTGTCCATTCAAAGAGAGATTGAAGCTAAGCAGATCAACACCTCTCGTGTCCCTCACAGAGGTTACAAAGAGGACTCTCCAGACCAGAATCCCAGCTGCCCAAACTGATCGAGGGAACAAAGGAGGCTGGAGGAGGACAGCAAGGCAGATCAGTCTCTGCTTTGACAGATTCCAGTGAAGGCACCTGATGTGTTATCAATAGTAGCCTAACAAAAGCCAGACTCATCAGGGTTTGTCCTTGCCTCCTGTGCCTCCAAAGGTTGTATCAACAGCACCAGGATAGACCCACAACCTTACAAGAGGATGTGCCATTGCCTTGAGCATCAGAAAGTGCCAGAATTGAGGGTCCTGCTGCCACTCAGAGACCTTCCAGCACTTTCTTATCCTTCCCACACCTCTAAATGTGTCTGTGCAGTATCTGCCCACCCGGGCCACCCCAAGTTTGGCTTTCTGGTCCAGGTTGGTGCCCTGATGAAACTCTGGGACCCCTCAGCAAGGAGAGCTGAGGGGGGCTGAGGTTGGCAGCCAAGGTCAAGGAGAGCCCCAGCCAGTTCAGCCCAGAATAGGCTGCTGGGAGCTTTCCACTGTCCTTGCTGAAGAGGCTGCTGTTCCCAGGCCTTGTGAATATGGAACAAACAGGACTGGGGCACCAGTTTGGATCTTCCCTCAAAGAGAACTTCCCTACTCATTGCATAGAATCACAGAACCATTTCCGTTGAAAAAGACCTTTAAAATCATCAAGTCCGACTGTTCCCCCAGCAGTGCCAAGGCCACGTGTCCCCAAGTGCTCCATCTACACATCCTTTAAACCCCTCCGGGGATGGTGACTCCCTGTGCCAGGGCTTGAGAACCCTTTGAGTGCAGAAATTTTTCCTGCTATCCAACTAACGCCTCTGCGGGCAGCCCGGCAGGATGCGAGTTCCTGTGTGTGTGCAGCAGCCACTAGATGGGAGTGTGACCGTGTGTATCCGCTCTGAAACCGCGGGGACCGTGCGGGGATGGGCTGCCACAGCCTCTCCTGAAGGGTTTTATATCCCAGAGCCTTTACTTTAATAACGCCACTGAGTTAATGGCAAAGCCTCTGCCCCAGGTACGTGCCTGCTCCACTCGAGGCTGCGAGAAGAGACACTGCCTTACAAAATATAACAATAAAATTACTGATATTACAACAGCTCAGCACTCAAAAATCAAGGAGCCATGTGTCAAATCCTGTGTGTCTTATAGGAGATACTCCTTAATCTGATAACTTCCTACCTGAAGACAAGAGAAAGAGAGTTTGGAGAAAAGGAATTTATGCATAAACTGGGAAACCTAAGTGCCTTGAGGAGCTTGGCCAAAGAGATGGAATGACATCCCAAGGAAGGATCTGGAAAAGGATTTGAACATGGCAAGGCATATGAGGACTTATGTTCTGATATGTTAATAGTTCCTAGTCCTGTGTTAACAACCCTGCAGCCCTGTGGGCCCTGGGGACAGCTGTGCCTGCTTGCCATGGATCACCAGCACTGTCCCTCCCTTTGCTGTGTGTGCAGCACTCTCTGTACCAGGCACATTTCTGTAATTAGGCTGCCACATAAAAGATGGTCCCAAAGCAATTTATCTTTCCTCAAGGGCCCTTGTTCCTTCTTGCCAAGGCCTGTAGCATCAGCACTTACAGGCTGTGGAAATGAACACTCAAGAAGGAAAAGGTTGCCAACAGTTGCTCAGCAGTTCCCCGCTGAACCTGCTGCAATCAGGATTCTGTAGGGTTTCCTTCTTTTGGCTGCCCTCGGTTTTTGTTTGGGCAGCACAGAAGTGGTTTCAGGGCAGCAAGGTCCAAAATATAGAAAAGCTGCAGCACTGGGCCTCCAACCCCAAATTTCAGGGGCAGAGGTCTTGGAAATGCAGAAGTGTGAAACACAAAGCTGCAACACCACTTGTGTGAAACAAAATTCCTCTTTAGTGGGTTGAGTTCAGAATGTGGGGTTATTTCTTTTTGTATTAGGAAGGTATCATTACTTCAGTCTTTGTCTCAGAGAGACTACATGTTTACTTTAGAAGTTCTAATATTTACATGGCATCCTGAAGTATATTTTTGATAGAACTTCTTACCTTGAATGTGCCTTTTTAAAATTAGCAATTTCTAGCAAATTTGTTCTTTTGTCCTTTTCCCCACTTCCTGTGAAAATGAGTAGAAGAAGAGTGTGAGATCTTTTCCAGATCATCCCATTAGACACCAAGGGGAACTGCTGGGGAAGTAAAGGGAGTGAGGATTTTGGAAATGCTCAGGAACCCTCTCATTTCTGAACCTCTAGCCTTACCACCAGACTCTTTAAACTCTAGTCACACAGGGAACAAAGAAGAAGCCTACATTTCTTTTTGAATGAAGCAAAAGGCTCCAGCAGAGAGGTTGTCAGAGCTGCCTGCCCTCACTATGCCCCAGTTAACAGGGTAATGATTTTGGAAATTAGACCAGAGCAGTGGGCACTGTTGCAGGCTGGAGAAGGCTGAAGGCAGCTGCAGCTTCTCCTTGCTTCATTAGCACTCCAGATCCAGAGGGGAAAAAGGAATCACAAGACTTTTTTTATACTTCCACTTTTATACAGCAGAATCTCCAAATCCTTCAGGTTCATGCCAAATTGCAAAGAAAAAAAAATCATCCCTGCTGATTGTGTTGTCAATCCTGTTAGATTGAATATTAGAGCCAAAGAGTGAATTAAATGTAAGAGCCAAATTCAAGATAGAAGTTCAGCTGCCACCTGAAGTCCATCCTTGATGCTGTCAATTCATAGGACAAGAATTCTCCTGGAGAGCATCTCAGGGCCACTGGACACAGACACGTCCTGTGTGAGGGGCTCTCAGCCCTGGGGACAGAGTTGCCAGCAGTGAATGCCCCAGGGGACTGAGAGGGACACTGCTCTGCACAGCTGATCCAGCACAGCCCCGATCCAGCACATGGACATCCTTCCTCCCCGTGCTGACCTGCAGATCTGGAGCCAGCTCTGCCTCCAATCTCAGTCCCTCCTGCAGGAATTGTGTGTGAGAGGAATGAACACCCTTTTAAAGGAGGCTGATCTCCTGAGAACTGGACAGAGGCCTGGGCCTAATCTGTTTATCCTGACAGAGATGCTCCGGGCTCCACCCGGTGCTCCCAGCCTGGGGCCTGCCTGAGGGCAGCGAGTCAGGAGCTTGAATTTCCATAATCTCAGGCTGAGTCTGACCGCCCTGAGCCTGCTGACAGGAGATTTTGCAGCAGCTTCAGGGAAAAGCCAAACAGAAGGATGCATTGCCCAGTGCTGAGAGGAGACTGGGAGCAAAAGGTCATCCCTGCATTGAGGGATGTGCTCGTGCAGAAGCACAGGGGGAAGGAAGCCAACATTTCACATCCCCTCCAGTGATCTTCAATATTGACAAGGAGCATGGAAGAGTCAGGCCCTTGAGTCCCAGCCAGTCTTTCAAAGGAGAAGAAATGATCATTTAGATTAGAAATTCTCACCTGCAGTGGTGGTGAAGCTCTGGAACACTGTGCCTAGAGAAGTTGTGACTGCCCCATGATCCCTGGAAGTGTCCAAGGCCAGGATGGATGGGGCTTGGAGCAGCCTGGGATAGTGGAAGGTGTCCATGCCCATGGCAGAGGGGTAGGACTGGATGGCCTTTAAGATCCCTTCCAACCCAAACCATTCTGGTACTCCATGATGGTTTCATCTCAGTCCAACCATTCCAGTGCTCAGTGGAAATCCCAGCTGGTGAAAGATGTTTCTGACAGTAGCAGGAGTAGGACTTGTTCCCTGAGGTCTTCCTGTCTGAGTTATTGGACATACAGCAGAATTTACTGATTTTCACAAGGTTCAGCTCAGCACAATAGTTCTGCCCACATGGCTGGACATGCTATTTCTATTATCTCAGTGTCACTGTGACTAATAAAATGGGAGGGCCCTGCCCTTGAGGCAGTATGACAACTGCACCTTCTGGGTGCATAGTCAACAACACAGTAGATTAAATCAGTGTGATAAAACTTTCAGAGAAAATTATTTTACAGCCCTGCATGCAAGCCAAACACAGCATTGGCCAATTCTTTTGGCTACTTCCCATGTGCAAACCCAGTGATCCTCAGTCACTGGGTGTGCAGCTCAACAAAGGACACAGATCAGAGCAAAATGGGGCTTTTCTTTGAGCCCATTCTCATTCACTTTCACTGAGAGTCAGCAGTAAGATATTTGTGTAAAAAACAACTCTAGAGACACCAAGTTCCACAGTTCACTGTAAACCAGTAAAAAAGCAGCTCAACTGAGTAAGGCAGAGCTTGGTTCACAGTGGAAGAAGATCTCAGCAGTCCCAGAAATAGAGCACCAGACCTGTGCTGGTGAAAAACATCTCTCAGACAGCCTGAACCATGCTGAACCTGGATACCAGGAATTTAGAACAGCTCCAGCAGGAGACACTTGTGTATACTTAGAAAAATCAATCATTTTCTAGGGAACTGGAACATAAAAAGTGTTTATTTTCCATTCCCATCAGATCCCCAGGCTGTAAGCAGCACCCTAAAGCCTCTTCAACAGTCACATGGCAGGAGGAAGGTGTAATTTTTAGTTTGCTCATAATCTAGCCTAGAAAAAAAATCAATAGTCCATTGTGAACAAGATGATATCGCACTGAAACTCCCCCTCTGTGCTTTCTGCATTTTCTTCCTATAAAGTACAGATATCCTTTGTATTACTGACCTGAAAAGGATGTCTCATTCCTCTTGATGCCTTGAGAGGCTAGCTAGAACAAAGGCTAGACAGGAATAAAGTAGGGATTTCTTAAAAGGCCTCAAAGGATACACCTGGGCAGTACAAGAGCCTGGCTTGTGGATGCACAAGATGGACAGCAGGTCACACATGTTCATACTTTTATAAGTTTTGGTCCATTCCCGTATTGGGGTTAATTATCCAACTACAGCTCCAGGTTATGCAGTCCCATCCTCCCAGGTTGCTCTCCTCAATTTGCTGTTTGTACTTTTTGGGCCTGAAGCTGCAATGGTGTCCTTGGTTCTGGAGCTAGAAAAGGATTGTTTTGTCTGACTGAACTGTGAGGAGAGCTTGCTAACACTCTGTATGAGGTTCAGAGTCACACACTAATGCAGTACAGAATCTGGAAAATACAAAAGCTAAAACTTTAAGCATTACTCTAGATTCTCTTTAAATAGTTCTATGTCAAATTGCTGGTGTAATTGCTGTAGCACTAAGCTGTTAAATATAATAGCTGTGACCAACTAGCAGCAGCCAAAACCTGGGCTCTCAGCTAGAACAATCCCTGGGGCAGCACTGGCTGCAGGAGGGAGGGAACAAGAGCATGTGTGTGTTGAGGGAGGCAGGTCTAGGGTGGCTTTGCAGTGACAGCCCCTGATGATTGTGTCCTTCTCACCCACAGCAAAATTTAAAGACAGGGTTGACATCCTGAGCAACATGGCCAAGGCCAAGGCTGAGACCCTGGAAGGACAAGGCTCCCAGCCAGGTGAGTGCAGGAAGAGCCAGCACTGCTTGCCTTGTTGTGCACTCACCTTCCCAGCACGCAAAGCCCAAGGGCAGGCGAGGAAACCCTGGGGTGTAACACAAATTTTGTGCTGTTTCTGGGCACAGATGGCTGGTGTAATGCAGCAGGAATCGATGGATGCACGCAGGCAGGAGCAGCCATCCCCAGAGGAGCTGTTAGTGAGGCAGGGCAGGGAGAGCTGCAGGGATGGACTGGAAATGGCCATGGAACAGTGCAGGAGGGAAATCAGGGCACTGCAGACAGCTGATGCTCTTTGGCAGACCCTGCAAATGAGGTGTTAAAAGAAAGAACCTTCACATGCTTGCAGAAGGGCACAGAAGGTTCCTCCAGAGGGAATAATCTACACTGTGTCTGTATCAATTCCAAGGACCTGTGCACCCTTCCTTTAATAGAATCACAGAATGGTTTGGGTTGGAAGGAACCTTAAGAGACCAATCCCATTCCACCCCCTGCCATGGGCAGGGACATCTTCCACCATCCCAGGATGCTCCAAGCCCTGTCCAACCTGGCCTTGGGCACTTCCAGGGATGGAGCAGCCACAACTTCTCTGGGCAACCTGTGCTGGGGCCTGCCCACCCTCACAGGGAAGCATTTCTAATCTAACATTTAACCTAGACCTGCCCTCTGTCAGTCACTCCTGACACAAAGGTTGCCTTGGAGCCAGAGCTGACCTGTGCTACAACACAGATTTTTGCTGCCAGCAAGGCTGAAGATTTTAAACACCAAGAAACTTTGGTGTGGAAGGTCCCAGCTCCACACGACCCAGGCACCTGAGCACCTCCCAATGCTGGGCCTCACGCAGGTGAATGAGCCCAAACTTGAGAAAAACACTGTTTAAAACCCAAGTAAATTCTTGGTGTGTGTCACACTGCCTTCACTCCCTCAACCCTGCTCTGTGTTATCCATATTTCTGCTCTGTTCCCACAGAGGTTTCTGTGTTCCTCTTGGCTATGCAGGTTAGTGCAGGAACAGCAGGACATTGCAGTTATTTCCTTGTATGTGTCAGCACTTTCCTATTTGCTTCTGAATACCCACCAAACGATCAGGGATTAAAGTCTGGCAGCACATCCTGGTCATTTCTCAGAAGCCCTGAAGAGTATCAGGTCCCTGGAGAATGCTGTGCTCTATGGAGGGAGGGGGGAGCTGGGGGAGAAACCTGAGAAGCAAAGCTTTACATCCTTGGATGGTTTTAATAAAATCTTCAGAATCTAGAAGGAAACCAAGAAATGCCCACCAGCTGTAGATGAGGTAATTAGCATTTCCCCACCCCTTACAGCAGTTCTGCATGGAAGGTCAGAGAAGCACCAAGGTCTCATTCTACTCCACGTGGGCCAAATTCTGCCCAGATTTACCAAATGCAATCACAGCAGTCAGGGAGGACACACAACAAACCAAAGCAATCTGAGGGTATTTAACCTGAAATGCCACCACTGTGGTAGGGAGCTCACGGGGAAGGTGGTGCCCTGATATGGTGGCCACCCATCCAGGATGACTGAAACCAAAATTCCTTCTTATTGCTTTTGCAGAAGAGGGAAAGAAAGCACCAAGCAGCGTCAAGGTAACTCCTGCCAGTGACTCTGAGCCCAGCAAAGACACACAGAAGGGAGATGTGCCACAGGATGGACAGGTATCAAAATCAGGAGCACAGGCACTAAGTGCCCACCCAGGCTGACCTTCACGTGTACTTTCCTTCTTCCCTCTCCAGAGCTGTTGGGACAGGACCCAACCCATATCACTGGCATCTATAAATAGGCTCTGTGTGTAGTAATCTAAGATGTTGGCTGAAACACTTTGGCTTACAAACACAAATTGGGTCCAAATTACGACACAAAGTGACACTGGATAGTATTGTCCCCTCAAGTGACTCTTCTGAGGGTACTCCAGGGTAAGGGGAGATAAGATCACCTGCCTGTCCTGTGCTCACCAGCAGAGTGTTCTGTTTTGCTTCCCAAATCCCTTTTGGGTGATGTTATTTGGCAGTTCCAATGAAAAAAAAATATTTTTCAAGGACATGAAATATTTGTTTCTAAAGGGTGGTTTTTAGTTAATGGATGCCCATTAGTTAACAATACATAGGTGCAGGGTTGGGGTGTGCCTGGGTCCTGTCCCACAAGAGCTGTGGCTGCCCTCAGTAGGTTACAAATGTGAGCTCTGCTCAGGTGAGGCCACAGTGAGTAACTGCAGCTCCTTGTTACTGTGAAAATATATTGGCTTTTTTATTTTTTATTCTGAGGTGCACCCCCTGTCAAGCAGTGACACCTCAGATAACAGCAGCTCTGAGAGCCAGGAGGACAGTGATGGTGACAGCACAGAGGATGATGAAAACGATGAGCCCTTATCTCTGGAATGGCCAGAATCAAGGACAAAACAAGCAATTTACCTTTTCCTCTTTCCCATTGTCTTTCCTCTCTGGAGCACTCTGCCTGATGTCAGAAACTCGGTAAGAATCCACCTTCCTTCTGCTCCTGGAGTCATTAACTGAGCTACAGATTTCCTCTGGGCCAGAGTCCCTGGGTCCATTTTTCCATGTCTGGAGTCTTTTCATAGTTGAAGGGCTGTTACTGCTGCAGGGAGTGGGACAGGAGCCCCAGCTGCAGTGTAATGTCATTCCAGAGACTTAATTTAATAAACCACAAATTCTAGCAACTACAGGTCACCCAATCAAGCTGAAAAACAGCAAACAGAGACCAGGGTCCAAGTTAAAGCAATCAATTGCAGTGAAGTGTTTCAGGTGAATAGTTTTCAATGGGGATTATTAACTTCCCTGAAACTTCTCTTTTTTCTTTTCAAACTTGATTTCAACAGGAATCAAAAAAATTCTTTGTCATCACATTTTTTGGATCCATCCTCTGGATTGCTGCGTTCTCTTATCTCATGGTGTGGTGGGCTCACCAGGTGAGAGGTTCTGTTCTTTCTGCAAACCTCCATTTCAGAGCAAGGAGATGGAGAGAGGGGACAGTGTTACTGTGGCATTTTATCTGATGAATTACAGCTGCAGTCATCCATCACAACAGTAGAAACTTTGTGTTGTTAGAACCCAAAAGGGAATTTTTGATGTCCTTTTTTTGATTTGACAAAGATTCATTCATTTCTGAAAGCTTCCAAGGGAGTTTGTGCATCAGTGAAAGGAAAAGCACCATCAAGATTTATCTCAAATCTGACTTTTCATTAATTAATGTTTCTGTGCAGAACATAATTATCCATTACCTAATTAAAATTCTAGGAAAAGACAGGTTCTGATTCTGGAAGCTGCTAAATGTTCTTCACTCCCCCATCTAATGTTCACCTGGTATTCTGGGAAATAATACTTCCATCTGGTAGTAACAGCCCCCCAGTCTGTATTGAGTGATATATTGCACATGCAGAGTAGATCTGATCATGCCATAAATCCAAGGACTGTCATCTCCAAAGGCCCTTAGATCTTGCACAGCTGATGTTAAATTTGCAAAGGTAGACAACATCCAGAAGGGGAGGACTGAGGACAGGAAAACTGTGCTGTAGCTGACTTGACCTTGGCTCAGTGCTGGCATCACTATGGTCAGATTTCTGACACTACAGAGCAAATCCAGAATCAACAGACACAGTAAAATGGAACTTTTTAATCCTATAAAGCAGGAAAATACTGCCACATTTTTGGGACTTGGAATATTTTAACTCAAATATGGCACAAACCCTAACACTGCACAGAGCAATTACACTCCACGTTCCACTGCTAACAGCCCTACCCAACGTTGTTTTGATTAGGTTGGTGAAACAATTGGGATATCAGAGGAAATTATGGGATTAACCATACTGGCAGCAGGCACATCCATCCCTGACCTCATCACCAGTGTCATCGTGGCCCGGAAGGGCTTGGGGGACATGGCTGTGTCCAGCTCTGTGGGCAGCAACATCTTTGACATCACTGTTGGGTGAGTACCAGGGCCATGCTAAGAGCTGCATTTCTTCTGAAACACAAAGTTACCTGGTTTGAAACCAAACCTGCCACAGTTAATTTCATTTTAGCTGTAGTTAAGTGAAGGGCAGCTGAGCAACCAGTTCCTTTTGAAGAAACCTAACCCCAATCCAAACCCAGCCAGGAAAGACAAACTGTTATAACTCAGCCCACAATCTTCACCCAATTCACAAAATTGCCAATCAACAGAATATTACCAAATTTTCAAGACAAAAATGCAAGACATTTTTGGCTAATGTCCAAGCTGCACAGGCAGGAGCCTTATCTGATCACTCAGAGACATTCAGCTCCTGGGGAAGGTCAGTAACAGTGCTTGGATCTCCCACCCTAAACCATCAGGACATTTCTTTATTATAGCTCACCAAGGCACTTAATTTTTAAGTATTATTTTCAAACCATGTTACTCTTGGATTGCATTATGATAGTGCAAGCATTATCCAAACCCCCAAGGCACTTAATTTTTAAGTATTTTCAAACCATGTTACTCTTGGATTGCATTATGATAGTGCAAGCATTATCCAAATGCAGTTTTGACAGGAAAAACATCCAGTTTAGATTTATGCTGAGCTATATTGAATACAATAATGCATTTTTTTCCCCTGTAACACTTTGGAAAGATTGCTTAGTTATGATGCAGATAATGAACTGCCTTAAAACATTTATTTCAATTACTTTTCCCTTCCTTGCAGCCTGCCAGTTCCCTGGTTCCTTTTTTCTATCTTCAATGGCCTCAGCCCCGTGGCAGTCAGCAGCAATGGTTTGTTTTGTGCAATTGTTCTCCTTTTCCTCATGCTCCTGTTTGTGATTCTCTCTATTGCTGTCTGTAAATGGAAAATGAACAAATTACTGGGGCTCACCATGTTTGCTCTTTACTTTGTGTTTCTGATCATCAGTGTGATGTTAGAGGACAAGATGATATCCTGCCCAGTATCTGTATGACATGTGAACACTTCAAAATGTCTGGGAGGATCCAGCAACGTCAAAAGGGGGTTGAGGTAGCAGTTCTACTGAAAAAAAGCAACAGAATTGTAACAAACTTACTGAAAATAAGATACCTTTAACATGCTCAAAAATAAATCAGTCTTAACTGGTGTGTCAGCCTCTTCTGTTTTTCTGTGGGATCAGAACAGTATTAAATGACCAATATTAAATAACACACACTTCAGGCACTTGTGGAAAGGCTGATACAATTTAGGTGCATCAAATTTTCACTATGGCTGGTCCTCTCAAGTTAAAGGAGCTGATTTTCACCACATAATATTTACTTATTATAGGAAATTTTCAGGAACACGCTCTAAATTAGTCAGTGAACTGCTCAAACTCCCTGAAATAAATGAATTTTAGTTCAGTGGGAAGAGAATCAGACTGCTGTGCCTGGGCCTTTATGGAACTGCTCTGCCTAAAATCCCTGTGTGGACACACAGGCTGCAGCCCAGCAGAGAACTCCCTCAAAGTGCACTGAGCTCCTTTCAGACCTGTACCTGATCTTGCAATGCAGTGCCTGCAATTCCTGTCAAGTGCCACCAGTACAAGTGTGATGTCACCTGGGTTTACCTGCAAAAAGACTAAAAGGCACATTACCCCTAATCAAAACCAAAGCCAGAAATCAAATAGAACAAGGAGTTGAATGCTGGGGGTTTGTTTTCATCCTGACACTAATTTCTGACAGTTACAGATTATTTATCCAGGAATTCCTCTTGTTAACACTGACTTCTACAGACAAGATGAAAAAATGCCACTGACATCACCAAACCTGAGAACTTCATGGTTAACTCTTAACACAACAGGGTTAGGAGTTGCAGACATTTCTGTCACTCTAATCAATCTAATAAAATGTTAATGAACATAACCAGAAAGATTTTAAGCTTTTTATTGACTCACTGTAAAACTTCTTTTTTTTTGGATGAGACAGAAAAAAACCTTAACATTGTGAACATTGACTTTGCATATTTTAAAGGAACTACAAACCAAAGCAAACATCCAACATACTGGTTTTTGGTAAATAAAATTTAAACATTACATATTTACAAATCTACAACCGTTCATTTAAAAAGTGCTGCTTGCAGACTAACAAAGTTCCATTTTTAAATCCCAGTGAGATAATATCCAGAAATACCCCTCTCTATTATTACTATCTGCATTTCCCATTTGTTACACTAAGATTTTACATGCAGGAATTTTCTCTTTCTTGGGATACAAATCATTTAGTTTGCCTGTGGAAGTCAAATTCATCAGGCTGTAACTGTACCAACAGCAAGCCTTCTCAAATGGGACACAGCAGTGTCAGAGAAACAGCACAATTTCTATTCACATTTCAGTATTTAATCTCCAATAATTATTCCAGTGGAACCATAAGTAAAGCAAAATATATATTGCACTGCAAATGTAAAACCCTGGTTTCAGGTTTTGGACATAAGCCTTATTTAGTACACAAAAGGAGAAAATTCAGTTCATACAAAATTTTAAATTGAAAATATGTCTCAAATATTTAATTTATTCATCTTTGTGGTATTGGAAAATATAATCAAATTGCTTTTCTAATAAAGGAAAGTGAGATTTGAAAACTGTTTCAACACTGAATTGTACGATGCTCTAAAAATTATCGACCTCAGGATATGTTTGGAACATTGTTATGTGAATGAGGAAAATTTCCCACTTACAGTATGTTGTTATTCTGACTTTATTTTTATATATTTCTACAGTGGACTGACTTGCAACAGACTTTGTAAAACAATTCATTAAGTATAATGATTTCACTTGATGAGCTACTACATGATAGCATAATTTAAAAGCACACCCAAATTAACACTGGCAGTGCTTCAGGGGAGCCACGCCGGGGCTGCAGAACACAGGGGCTGACAGCCCTGCTCCCAGGGCAGCACCCACTCCCTGACAGTGCTGGGGGATGTTGCAAAGAAGTAAAACTGGTTGGGTTTGGAAGTCTGAAGGCAGTTGGAAGTCCTTACGAGGAGGCTGGGAGTAGGATGGAGGAAGGGCCACGTGTGACAGGGCTGCCCCCACACCTGCGCCGTGTCCGGGGCACGGGGACCGGGCTCGGCTCTTCGGCCACCCCGCAATGGGAGTGGGAAGCTGGGTCATAGCTCAGCCCCTCTAACCCCACGGCAGCTCTGGAAAAAGCACTTGCTCTCTCTCCTTTCATGGCTTGAAGGTCCTATAGAACAGTGGCTGCCCCAGTGGCAAATGGGAAACAGAACTGCAGGGAGCTGGGAACACGACCTTCCCCACGGCACACCCAGCTATGAGCTTAAGTACAGCAACTACTGGAGGCAAGATTTCCGTGGTAATGCAGCATTCCTACTGTACAGAGCAGCCATGCACACGAAGGGGTACTTACAGGGAATGTGTTCAAAAATAGCCTGTTTGTTTCACAATAGTTCAGAGGAATGAAGAGGGTATCTCTACCTTGTACCTGGGTGAAAAAAGGAGCTTCATTTCATGCACAAGGATACTGTACAAGCGTGGCAGTACAAAAGAGCATCACACATTGTTAAAATAAATTAAATGTGAAAGATGGTGTAAGTGTAGCATTGCTAGCTCCACCTCAGGTGGGGGGATACGTTCAAAAAGGTCAGCTACATAATTAGCAGCACGTTAGAGAAGAGGCATTACCCGATGGAAGCTGTCTCCAAGACTACATCCTGCAGTTATCATCAGCACATACCTGCAGCTCTACAGGTTTTAAATCCTTTCTTCTTAGGGCAGCTTCTTCTTACAACTTTACAGAAGTCTGGGAGGAGGTTGCAGAGCTTCATAGCAGCATTACTTTTCATTTATGCCTCTAAGGCTCGCTCTATTTCACTTAATAAAGTAAATGTGAGCTTTAAAGTTTATCACCTTTCTGCCTAAGTATTGCTGGTTTATTACAGTTGCAAACTAAAGATGTTTTTAAAAACACCTACTGGTAGGCAGACAGCAATATAAGATCTAATGTAACAGTTGAATATTTGGAAGTATTTATAACACCAACAACTAAAATTAGGAGTGGAAAATCATTAAGATTACTTAAAATAAAGCTATTTGTTAAAGCATGATTTAAATTTGTTTAGGGCGTTTTATACAGTTCGATGTCTGTTTTCCCACCTCCATGCAAGACTTCTGATATTTTCCCTGCAGTCTGCCTTCTGGTGAGGAGTTACTATGTGACTGAGAGCACAGAACATTTTTAAATGTCTAGAACAAGAAAACATGAGGCAAAAGCCATGACTCCACACAAGGACTGATATAGTAGTTTTCTTCAGAGAAAACAGAAAGTTGTTTTGCCTGGGAAATAAGAGACAGAACATTCCAAGTATGTTTAAGTAATCACAATATGCCCCAGTAAGTTACATTCCCTATAATTCCCTGTAGCAAGTTTGCTGGATGTACTTGAGTTAGCAGCTTTGGATGGGCATTGTGTGGTGCTGTACTGAGTGCTTCAAACACAACCTCTGAGACTCGGAGCGCTGCGTGCTCATGGAGAACTCACTGCAGGCTGGCATTTGCTCCGGGTCACATCTGGAATGAGGCCACACCAACAAATGCCAACAGCTGACATGGGCTGATTCCATAACAAAATCCATAGGACTCTTCAATGTGGTTTCCCTTTCCTAGGGAGTGGGGAGGGAAGGGAACAAGAGAGGAAGAGGAGACTTCTACAGAAGTGTTTCACAGAGACATCAGTGTATTTGTTAGAGTTTTTCAAAATTTACCATACCTTCCTTCTGATTGCTGTGGTAACACATTTTCCAAGTGTTCATGAGAGAAATCCTGGATCTCCAGTACTGTCTAGGTGAAGGTTAACATTTTCTATTCTGCTTTAAAAACAAATCACTCTTCAAAAAGTAACTGGACAAGTTACTATAAATAGCAGTGTACTGCAAAAAAAATAAGCACTGTATTGCTTCTGCAGCAAGTCCATTTAAAATTCACTCCAGTAATTTAAAAAAATTAAAAAAATATCAACTTACTATAAACAATTTAAAATATGTATAATACAACTTTGTATGCTCTTCATAACATCATGAATATTCTATGTAAACAATAGATTCTGAAGAACTTCCTTCGCTCACATTAGTTTCAGTGCATTGTTTCTGTCCACCTGTTACTTAATTTTTTTTTTTTTTTAAAGGGAGCCGTAATATGTTGTCCCAAGTCAGAGAACTGATTTTGTTTAGAACCTGCCTCTCCACACACCGATTTGCAGAAAGAACAAGGGACAGGGAAATATTATTTGGCCCATTTTGCTCTCTGTCCATCTCCACAACCGCAGGCAGGCCGAATTTCCCGAGGCCTCCTGCCACAGCCCTTCGCACGCACATTCCTGAACACTGAAGACTGAGATGTTCCTTGTGACTGAAGTGGTTATTGTACACAGGGATACGTCAGAGATATCACCTCTTTAGCCAGGTACATTTAAAGATATGGTTCTCCAAAAATCTTTCTGCATTCCATCACTCCAGTGCTGGGTGGTCTGTCGCAGTTATGAGTGTTCTTCACTTGATTAGCGGTGAGACGGTCATAGGCCATTTTGTACTCTCTGTCAAAGGCATCTGCAGCAAGGGAAAAACAACTTTAGACAGCAAGCTCAAAAACACCACCCAAATGCCACAGCAGCTGCATTTATCAGCACAAAATAGCTGTAAAGTCCTTTTTATTTGGCACTTACCACAGAGTGGCACACATCTAATCTACAGATTATTTTTTTCTGGAAGCTGAACAACTAAGTTTGCATAAATTCATCATCTCATTTGAATAGTTGGCAGAACTCACCAATATCAATGTTATCTCTTCCCAGGGCAACGAGTGAAAGAAACAGTATTTCTCTGTAAAGGCTCCTGAAATGGTAAAAACCCCAGTTAATATACTGCACTGAAACAGCACAAAACAATCTCTATAAAAAACAGATTGAAGCATTTAAAGACAACTTATTAAAAAACAGGCATTTAGAACGTAACTCCTGATTGTGCCTCCAAAATACTGTCATTTCTGAGCTCTGG